TACTTCATTAAGCAATGGTTCTTTGTTGTTATAGCAACTATCTAGGTAGATGGCCTGATAAGAAATTTGAAAGAGCTGTGATTGCAGGGAAAGAAAGAGAGCAGTAATTCAGTTTCTGGGGGTGGAGAGTGGGGGCTCTCCCTCTCCCCTCCCCCTTACTTTTTTTCCATTTTTTTTTTTGGTTGGTTGGCTCTGGTTTTACAAGATGTTGCTTGGATACCAATGTGGTTTTGCTCAGCAAAGCTGTCATCTTAATGTTGTGCAAAGGAAGCATAATCAGCTAAGTAGGTACATCTTCGAGATGCACTTTCAGAAATAGTTTCTTTTATCATTATTAGTGGTTTAGCTAGACCTCCATAACTCTTCATATCATTTACATCTAAGCTGTTTAGAAAAATGTTGTGTTTCTGTTGGGAGACTTTCTGCAGAATGGATGAGTGCAGAAGTGCTGTTGAATGCTGATTGTCTGTCTATCTCCTGATGTTCATGGAGACCTCACACTGATTTTTTTATTTTTATTTTTTTTTAACAAATGTTTTGCAACTCAGGAAATCATTTGTACCCTCCTTGTCATGCATGTTGATATCTCCCATGCAGCAGGTCACAAGCTGGATATTTTTTCCCTTGTCTTCTGCATTTTACAACCATTAGGACAAGCACTATAGCAGAAACAATGACAATACTTTGCATTTCTTTAGTGAAAGATTGTGCAGTGTTTTGCAAATGCTCAAAATATGCTTGGCAGCTAGGCACAGGTGATTTCTTTTGTCATCCATGAAATGGAGATACTGAGGCAGAGAAATCAGCAATGAGAGGTTAAGTGATTTGTCCAAGGGTCAAACATGAAGTTCATGGCATAGCCAGGAATAGAGCCCAGGTCTTTTGAATCACAATCCTGTGTTCTAGGCACAAGATCATCCTTCCATCCCCTCCCTCTGTAATCGTACTTGGAAATTCCAAGTGAGCTCATATCCCATCTTTCTCCTCCTTACATCAGCTCTGCCTCCTTCTCTCCTCAAGTCCCTTTCTCTCTCTCATTCTTTCTCTTAAATGAGAGGTTTCCATTAAGTTCTCGCCTCCATTGGCCCACCGCCCCTCCATCCCCCAACAGTATACTAGAATAGAACTCTCCTTTCTGGGATGTCAACAATTTCATGCTTTCCCTGGCCTTCACTCATCCAGCCGTGGTCCCTGCCACTGCTTCTGCTCTGAACTGCTCACCCACTGCCACTTCCCCACATGAAGCAGGACTGGGAGCAGGCATCGGGGGAAGAGGAATAAAATGAGAGAGTTGGCCAGGGAAAGGAGTTGGGTCTCAGAAAAAAGGATGTGGCTTGCACTGGAATTGTGACTAACTTCTCCCAGTACTCCTCACTTTGCCTTCCTCTCAGAAGCCGTAAGGTCCTCCCCGCTACTCATCACCAGGCCCCTTAGACATAAGCGCCAACTCTGTGGGTGCTCTGGGGCTGGAGCACCCACAGAGGAAAAAAATGGTGGGTGCTAAGCACCCACCAGCAGCCCCCCTATCAGATCCTCCCCAAACCCCCAGTGCCTCCTGCCAGCGGGCCCTGCAGCTCAGCACCTCCTCCTCCCTCCCTGCACCTCCCGCCCACCGCAATCAGAGCTGTTTTACAGCATGCAGGAGGCTGGGAGGGAGGGGGGAGGAGCAAGGATGCGGCACGCTCCAGGGAGGAGGCAGGGCTGGGTGGGAAGAGGAGGGGTTGGGAAGAGGTGGTGTCTGGGTGAGGCCTTGGGGGAAGGGGTGGAGTGCAGACAGGGCCCGGGGCAGAGCCGGGGGTTGAGCACCTCTCGGCATTTTGAAAAGTCGGCGCCTGTGCCCTTAGAAGACCTTAAAAAGCCCCTACTCCTGAAAGTTTGTTACATGTTGTTAATTTTCAAATTTCAGCAAATCACAACCAGTCTCCTAGTCAGTAGTGCAAATTAGAAAGTTTGTCCTGTAATCTGCATGTATATAATGGCTTTCATCCACAGATTTCAAGGTACTTCTGCAAATATTGTATACTTTAAGGAAGTATTATCATACCTCTGTACAGATGAATAAAGAGAGGCCCAGAGAGATTCAGAGTTATGCGCGGCCATGAAGTGGGCACAGCTGGGCATAGAACCTAAGAACTGGTCTACTACACCTGAGGGAATTCTGCGCCACTGCGCATGTGCAGAATTCATGTGCCCCGCAGATTTCTTTGCTTCCCTGAAGAAAAATGACTTTCTGACAGAGAAGCAAAGGGAAGCTGCAAGAGCAGTCACACACCACTCCCTAGCAGTGCAGGTATGTCATTTCAGGCACCTGTAGCAGCTGGCAGAGAGGTAAATCACTGCAGGGCTGGGGACACTCCAGCCAGTGGCTCCTACTCTGAGCCGGGATCAGTTGCTAGTCCCGGCTGGAGGCAGGAGAGGATGGGACTTCCTCTTCCCCTACAAGGAGTGGCTCGGGCTGTGTCAGATCCACCCCCAGAAACCTCCTCCAGCTGCAGGAAGCTCAGTATCCTCCCCTACTTCCTGACCCCATTATTCCTCAGCAGTGGGGGGAGGGGTCACTGTATGGGGAGCTGCCCCCTCCCCCATCTACCCAACCCCTGTGCATCTGGACCTCCCATACCCAGAGGCCCCCACCAAGCCTCACCCTGTACGTCCAGAGCCCCCCTAAGCCTCCATACCTGAACCCTACCCCACTGAACCTCAACCCCTACATCTGGAGCCCCCCTGCAACCAGACCCCCTGCCTCTGGCCCCAGTCCCTGAACCCAGACCATCCCCCACTGAGCTTCCTGCACTCAAATCCCCACCCTGATGAGCCCCACCTCCCTGCACCACCCTGAGCCCCCACATCCAGACCCCCAAGCCACTGACCCCCAACTACCTGCACTCAGACCCCACCCCCCCAAGCCCCACTCCCCCAGCATCCAGACCCCCCTGCTGAGACCCCCACACCCAGACTCCTCTGCTGAGCGCCAACCACTTTCACTTAGAAGCCCTGCAGAGTCCCATTGCACCTGGAACCACACCCCAACGAGCCTCTGTGCATCCAGATCCCCCCACACCTACACCCCCCACTGAATTGCCTGCACTCAGATTGTCCCACACAGAATCCTCTCACTCCACACTGAGCCCCCTCCACACTTGGATCCTGCCTGGTTGAGCCTGTCTGCTTGGGGATGGGGGGAACCGCTCCCCAGCACTCGCCGGTGGCATGGCTGGGAGATGGGGAGAGGAGCAGGCTGGGGCTGGGTCGCTCTAATTACCGGTGAGTGCAGGCAGGGAGTGGGGGCGAGGCGGGGGCAGGAAGAGGCGGGGCTGGGGTGGAGCAGGAGTGGGGCCCTGGGGAAGAGCCAGAGCAGGGGCTGGAGCAGCATGCAGCTGCGCAGGGCATCACGAAATTTGGTGCCCCAAATTTCCTGGTGCCCTACGCAGCCGCGTACTTTGTGTATGGGTAAGGGTGGCCCTGGTGATCTCCCACCTTCGTACAGCCGGTGGCCTGTGCTCCTCACTGCCATGCTGCAGCCTCTGCATTTATTTATTGACAAATAAAGCTTGCAGAATTTTAAAATATTGTGCACAGATTTTTTAATTTTGGGGGGGGTCACAATGCTTGATCAGCATTTGTTTCAAATGGATACAGTTAAAATGGTACAAAAACTGTCTTTAGGTACAAGCCCTAAAGACGGAATTCTGCTTTCAGTTACATCAGAGCAAAAATGGAGGCTCTTCCAAAGTCAATGGAGTTAATCTGAACTTATACCTACAACGTACACCATTGTAAGTGACAGCTCAGTTTGATTCCAGGAGTCCCTGTTCCCAGTCCCTACCACTGCACTGAGCCTCAGTATCTGCATGACAAAGCATGCTGCAGCCATCACAGCAATTAGTATGTGTTTTATGCCTGGCCCATCCCATTTTAATACAGTGCTGTATAAATATATAATTTTTTTTCCCCAGGTAGTGCGTTTATTTCTGTCTTATTCCTAAAAGAAACCATGAGGGCTGCTGATATGTTAGGTAAGTAAGCAGTTGCGAACACAAGCATGTGTGGTTCCATATGTTTAGCAAACTGGAAGTCTCAAACTCAAACGCCCCCACTTGCCCCAGCAAATGTTTAAAGGCATATACTTTAAAAAATTGGGCCCATGTCATAATGTGAAGTAAAATCTTTAGGGCTGTCAAGCAATTAAAAAAAATGAATCGCAATTAATTGCGCGATTAAAAAAATTAATTGCAATTAATTGCACTGTTAAACAATAGTGGAATACCATTTATTTAAATATTTTTGGATGTTTTCTACATTTTCAAATATATTGATTTCAATTACAACACAAAATACAAAGTGTACAGTGATCACTTTATTTTTGATTACAAATATTTGCACTGTAAAAAACAAAATAAATAGTATTTTTCAATTCACGTAATACAAGTACTGTCATGCAATCTCTTTATCATGAAAGTTGAACTTACAAATGTAGAATTATATCCAAAAAAACTCTGCATTAAAAAATAAAACAATGTAAAACTTTAGAGCCTACATGTCCAATCAGTCCTACTTCTTGTTCAGCCAATCGTTCAGACAAACAAGTTTGTTCACATTTGCAGAAGATAATGCTGCCTGCTTCTTGTTTACAACATCACCTGAAAGTTAGAACAGGCATTTGCATGGCACTGTTGTAGCCGGTGTCGCAAGATATTTACATGCCAGATGCGCTAAAGATTCATATGTCCCTTGATGCTTCAGCCGCCACTCCAGAGGATGTGCGTATATGCTGATGACGAGTTCTGCTCAATCACGATCCAAAGCAGTGCAGACCAATGCATGTTCATTTTCATCATCGGAGTCAGATGCCACCAGCAGAAGGTTTATTTTCTTTTTTGGTGGTTTGGGTTCTGTAGTTTTCCGCATCAGAGTGTTTCTCTTTTAAGACTTCTGAAAGCATGCTCCACACCTCGTCCCTCTCAGATTTTGGAAGGCACTTGAAATTCTTAAACCTTAGGTCGAGTGCTGTAGTTATCTTTAGAAATCTCACATTGGTACCTTCTTTGCATTTTGTCAAATTTACAGTGAAAGTGTTCTTAAAACAAACAACATGTGCTGGATCATCATCCGAGACTGCTATAATATGAAATATATGGCAGAAGGCGGGTAAAACAGCAGGGGACATACAATTCTACCCCAAGGAGTTCAGTCACAAATTTAATTAACGCATTGTTTTTTTAACAAGCATCATCAGCATGGAAGCATGTCCTCTGGAATGATGGCCGAAGCAAGAAGAGGCATATGAATCTTTAGCGCATCTGGTACATAAATATATTGCGAGGCCAGCTACAACAGTGCCATGCCAACGCCTGTTCTCACTTTCAGGTGACTTTGTAATTAAGAAGAGGACAGCATTATCTCCTGTAAATGTAAACAAACTTGTTTCTCTTAGTGAATGGCTGAACAAGAAGTAGAACTGAGTGAACATGTAGGCTCTAAAGTTTTACATTGTTTTGTTTTTGAGTGCAGTTATGGAACAAAAAACAACATATGTAAGTTGCACTTTCATGTCAAAGAGATTGCACTACAGTACTTGTATGAGGTGAATTGAAAAATACTATTTCTTTTATTTATCTTTTTTACAGTGATAAAAAATAATATAAAGTGAGCACTGTACACTTTGTATGTTGTGTTGTAATTGAAGTCGATATATTTGAAAATGTAGAAAAACATCCAAAAATATTTAATACATTTCAATTGGTATTCTATTGTTTAACAGTGCAGTTAATCGCATGAGTTAACTGCGATTAATCGACAGCCCTAGAAATCTTATTTGTATATGAAAATTAGCTAGTGATCCAAAATCCTCCACCCTTAGAGCTGTAACTTAAGGTTTACATATGGTAGAGATTACTTACTTAAGATCACTCTTTCATTGCATATTTTTAACTCTGAGATGGTATTTAGTATTTTATGAACATGATGCAAGTTCAGTACAAATGGCTAGGTGATTAGCTGTTCTTTCAAATTAAAGAGTGTTTTTACGCTGTAGGTATTACACAAAAATTAAAGCTTCATTTAAAAAATGAGAACTATTTACTCCTTTTATACTAACTTAGTCATTCCAAAAAAGCAGGAATGATAATCATGTTATCAAATGTCTTACTGTGGAACAAGGTCTTTCTTGCAAAAGCCGTAGGCTTTCTGGCTGCATCAAAGATTTTAGTTGTGTTTCAAAACTGTCTTGCTCTGCATTCTTCATTTATAGCCTTGAAGGAATCGAGCATTTTAACAGAAAGAGGCCAGCAGATTTCAGGTTTTGCTTTTTAAACCATGCCTTCCCGGATGAATTATCCAAGTGAGCAGTGCCATTGATATTTTTGGGGACATGTTACTCATGTGGCATGTTGAGCAAGATTTAGTCCATAGTGTGATAATTATAGCACAGCTGTTGTTGTGCACATTTTTGAGAAAGAGGTTCAGTATTGTTCCAACAACCTATAATATTTACTTAGGTTTTGGATCCTAATCTGCCAACTCAACTGATAGACTGAGACTACATCCCTCAACTGATCATTGCCTTATACATTGCACATTGCTTTAACTAGCATTCAACACTGATTTATTTTATTTCTGTTAGTTTGAGTTTGCATGAAAGATTTAACAATGTTGCTGCATTCCATAGGAATGAGCTGTATAATGGGAAATATGGTGATGTTTTTGCAGGCACATAAATTTAGAACAGTTCTGCTTTTCCAAAGAAACCGTGCTGTAGCAGTGCCAGCAATGTCCTGCTGATGTGCTTTGTTTTGTATTCTTAAACCTCATGTTCCATATTGATTTATTGGTTTCCAAGAATGTTTAATGATTACTTAAAAAACAACTACATTGAATTAGGTAAGATATTAGCTAATCAATGGAGCTTCTGAGCTCAGTAATCAGCCTAGTTACATCTAGATATCCCCAGGAACATCTGTGTTTGTCAGCTGGCTATCCACAGGGCAGAAGTTCCAGACTTTTATTAAAACCACAATAATACAAGTTTGACCTTGAAAAGGGGCCCCCACAACCGGATAACTGAGTAGCCTCTTGCAAATCAACTCTGCCCTTTTATGAAACAGTTCGTAGATCTGCAAGGATGGTAGGGAGTGGCAAAAGGGCTGGCTTCAGGTCAGCTTTACACTTAGCTATGAAGTTGTCACACATCTGTTGCTCTTAGAGATTCCAGGCCAGATCCTTAGCGGTGTAAATCTGTGTAGCTACTTTGACTTCAGAGGAGTTACACTGATTTACACCAGCTGAGACTCTGCCCCTGCCTCAATAAACGGCATGTCCTTTTAGTTGACAGTAATTTGGGACATGGTCATGACTATCAGAAATAAGGGACCTGATTCTCCTTTGTTCTGCTTTGCTGAACCAGGGTCCTATTTCAGAAAAGTATGAAACTGTGCTGATAATGTCTCTTTACAGTTCTGAAGGAGTTCCCCAGAATTCTTCTGGATTTTATTGAAAAATTATACTAGGTAAGACCAGGGCCGGCTTTAGGACCTGCGGGGCCCGATTCGAATACCCGACGGCGGTCCGGGTCTTCGGCGGCACTTCGGTGGCGGGGGGTCTGCTCTGCGTCTTCCGTGGCACTGAAAGACCCCCCCGCCACCGGAGTGGACTGCCGCCAAGTGAGCCTAAGGCGCGGGGCCCGATTCCGGGGAATCGGCCTAAAGCCGGCCCTGGGTAAGACTTCAGATGCAGGCAACATGACTAGCTAATTGTATATCTAATTAAGTGGATTTAACTTTATGCTAGAAACTACTTTCAAAGGGGCTTGAATGGTAAATTGGACAATAATATACTTTGTAAAATTAACGTGTGTTTTTATTTAAAGGTGGAACCCTGACAATTGCAGGAACATATTTGTTGGTGACATTCGCTCCAAATGTAACCCAGGAGCTCACGGCAACTAAAATACAGAATTATTTAATTAGCTGGCAGTTTCTGATCTATGTGGTGAGTTTCTTGTTTATAATTCTCTGTAAGTCAAAATATCTTGATTTTTGCATCACAAGTCACAATGTCAAACAGCTGCTCCTGAAGCAAATTGTTTCCAGTACCATGGCCATAGCCATGTGCAGCAGATCAGCTTCTCAAGTGCTTTCCTCCTCTCCATCCCTGGGGTTCAACAGATCCTGACATTTCTTGAACTTCAGAAGAGCAGAGGATAGATTGAGAAAAAGGTGGGAATTTGCAAGAAGAGGAGAATTTAAATGTTAGTGGCTTGGGAGGGAGTAAATATTGGCACTGGTTGTACGTGATTTGAATGTATTTATTCCACATTTTCTGTACATGTATCTAAGAGTATTTATTTATTTACAACTTGAAATAATAGTGGTTTTGAAGATGGGGCCCTATTTCTTCTTTGTATAGATGGCTCAGTTGTGCTCCCTGTGTTGCCCAGCCAAGACAAATGGCTCCTTATTCCACTGATTGGCTGAGTGAATGACTCTGCATTGTTGCCATTAGCTGTTAATCAATGTCTGAATTTGAATTCAAATACCAAAATACCACTTTGATTAGAGCTCCTATATACAAACCTTCAAAATCCATCCTTGCTCTTTGATGCATTCTAATTAACTTCAGGAACAAGCCCAGAGTGAGTGGGAAGACTCTGTCTGTCTCTCAAAAATGCAGAAAAATATCTGTTTCATCTGGATGTAGAAGTTGCAATATGCTCTAAACCCCAGAAGTTTTTTATTCTTCCTTCCCCTCCTACCCCCCGAGATTATTAATGTTTTGTCATGTTAAAAAATGACATTTTCAAATAGGTGAAGATTTCAGGATGTTCAGTTAAGAAGTTATAGACTAGCTAGCTTCACCCTGAGGCCTCACTACTCCAGCCAGTTTACCAGCTCACAAAGCACCTATACTGTAGATGAGACTATTGATAAAACAGTCAGTACAAGATAATACTAAATAGCATTTCTTTCTTCTATTGACTGTGCATTTTCAAAGCTCATGAAAGACGGTGATACAGCTCAATGGAAGAGACTGATGGGGTTTCTAGCCATACATTAAAATATGCATTTTTAGTCGTGCAACAGAGTTGATTTCAAGGTGCTGCATGGAGACTCAGCCACACAACTTGACATCAGTGTCAGTGGGCATTGGGTAGCTCCATCCTGTGCACAACATAGAAACCGTGCCGTTCAATATTTTAAAAAGGCCTGGCTTTTTAAGAAATGCTTTTAAATAGCTGCCTTGCATTCTTAAAAAGCTTCATTTAAAGATGTTAGAGAAATAAAGTACACCCTCATTGACAGCACAGGTTTTAGTGAGCAGCTTGCTTTGCTAAAATACCAAATGATAGTTCAGTGTCAATGAACTAACACTTTTGCAAAATCAGTGGCTTGTCTGGAATAGGGCCTTCTCCCACTTCAGGAGATTAAGGCTTTGCTCTTCCCAGGAGAAATTGTAAAGGGTTGGAAGGAAATTCTTACCCCTTCTTTTAAAAATTACTTTAAAAAAGCACCATATCTTACCTAATCCCAATGCAGTGTCTGTGCTTAGTAATCAGTCCACTTACATCGAGTTACCCCCATCAGCATCCGTGGGGGCTTGTCATCTGACAACTACCCTCCAAACCTTGTCTCCTTTCACTAGCCCCTTTGCCTCCTTCATTGTGTCCAAACCCTGTGACTAGCTAGACCCCCTATTTATTTCCTTCTCCCATTTTTGCCTGGCTGCATTCTTTCCAATTCACATGCCCCCGATACCTGAAGCCCCCTCCATGACCTATTCAACCATGACCCCGTTAAACTCTCTCCTTAAAACTCACCTCTTCCACAAGACCTATTATCTCATCTTCTCCCTTACTCCCAAATACCAACTTATACCCCTACAGCTTGGGGTGGGAAAAGGACAAGACCGAAAACAAACAAACAAAAGGCAAGTGCTGGATATCAACACTCATTTAATGGTTAGATTTGTTGCCTTCTGTTCCTTGTTTTCATCTACTAAGAGCTTCCTATCGCTAGAGAAGGGAGAAGAGTCAAAAGGCTGCCATAGGGACCTTGCTATGCAAATCTAATCGACCCAGGAAGAGTCTAGATGCTGCAATGATGGGTATTTAATACAAAATTCAAACAGAATTTGATTTAACCTGTGCAGGTGAAGCCTAGGACAACCTATGGTAGAAAATAGGCCTGATCCTACACTCCATTGATTCAATGGAGTTGCCCCAGTTTTTTCATCAGTGTAACAGAATTAGCAAGAAAGATTGAGGTCACGTTGTGGCTAGCCGATGCTTCATCTCACCCAGACTCCCCATCACAATCTAGGAAAGCATGTTGAGGGAAATAGGTGACAGCATTATATATAATGCTGCATTATCTATAATGGGGGAGGGATAGCTCAGTGGTTTGAGCATTGGCCTGCCAAACCCAGCGTTGTGAGTTTAATCCTTGAGGTGGCCACTTAGGGATCTGGGGTAAAATCAGTACTTGGTCCTGCTAGTGAAGGCAGGGGGCTGGTCTCAATGACCTTTCAGGGTCCCTTCCAGTTCTATGAGATAGGTATATCTCCATATATGTATATATACATAAACAGACACACACACATGGAGTTAATATCACCCAGGATTTAGGTAAATTAATCTTGCCAATAGATGTGCTTACTAATGCAGTCTTTCTTCATATGAAAAGTGAATACCTTAAAACTGCAACCATGACCCCATAATCTTCAATCAGTGTCTGTAGACATTTCAGTGCAAAAACCACATCCTTCTAGAATGTAACATTGTCATTTGATTACACTTGGGGCAGGAAAACACATTTTAAAAAAATTAATGGGACAAGAAACCTAAAGGGTGACGTGCAGCAATCCTTCCCTTGGGAAAAAAATTGAGACTTAGGGTATGTCTACATTGCAAGCAGTAAGTAGATCTAAGTACGTCGACTTCAGCTACGCTATTCACGTAGCTGAAGTTCCGTATCTTAGATCATACCTGTGCGATAGTGTAGACAAGCCGTTACAATGGTGGGAGTAAGGCTGTAGTGTGTACACTGACATAATTGGGTCAGCATAAGCTGGCTTTCTAGTGTAGACCAGCCCTAAGAGTTGCAAGTTTTGGATACTGTGGTGTTGGGTTCTCACTGTACTTTCTGTCCTCCCCAGAGTCTGTCACTATCCCAGCACAGTCTCTGCTCTCTCTCTGTCCAAGCCCTTAGAGATGGTAGGGCATCCTGTGTCTGAGGGAATGGGGCATTTGGAGCATCCTCAGGCTGCTACTTGTACCCCAGTGTGGGGTGAGGATATCAGGGCTGCCAGCTTCCTGGTGCAGGGTTCTATGCTGAGCTGGCTGGCTGGCGCTGTGTTCCCTACTGCATGCTGCCTCCTGCTCTGCTCTGCTGCCTGGCCTCCCGCATTTAGTGGCCATAATAGGAGCCGAGTGGAATAGAGCGGCCAGCAGAGCATGCTGTGACAGAGCTGCAGCCAGCGGTGCGGGGTGCTCAGCAAGAGTTAGACGTGAGGGCATCAGTGGAAGGCAAAAGGTTTGGAGGAAGAGGTGGTCCCTCTGAGTGCTCAACTTCCCCAGTGCTTGTGCCTATGTGTTTCCATGACTCTTCAGTGTGTGGAATTCCCACTGACTCACATGGCAGTTCCACACACACAGCACCTGCAGGATCAGGCCTGGAAGAGACACGAGGGCACTTGTTTCTCAGATGATCAATCTGATGCTTCGAAGGGACAGAGGTAGCCGTGCTTGTCCTGTTATACCTCCGAAGTATAGGCAGATAGTCATCAGCAGGCCATGCCTTCCTGTGGCTCAGATCCTGAGTGCTCCATGCAGCTGAGGAAGCAGGGTGTAAAGATGGCTTTAAGTCACTTTAATGCTCTTCCAGCCTTGGAACTATCTGGGGCCCTAAGGCAGTTGTCCCCAAAAGTTTTTTAAGTCCCCCGCCCCTTGTTCCTAATATAATTTGACCTCCCCCACCCCCGGAAGCCATGGTCGGAGGCTGGAGCCAGAGCCATGGCTGAGGTCAGGAACCGGGGGCTGCGGCTGAGAGCTGGGCCGCAGTCGGGCCGGGAGCCCGGGGCTGGGCCGGAGCGGGGCTGAGGGCAGAGCAGGGCTGGGTGCCGCTCCGTCCCCACCTCCTATGGAGCCTGGCACGGACCCCGCCACGACCCACTGAACATTGCTCCATGCTCCACTAGGGGGGCTCGCCTCACAGTTTGGGGACCACTGCCCTAAGGGCTACATTAATTTATACCAGCTGCCAACAGCCCCAAGGTATTACTGGGGATAAAAGAGCCCTGGCCACAGCCCCTGCACCAGCAACAGTGGAGGGAATGGAGAAGGAGCCACTATAGCAGCTACTAGGCCACCTGACTATTCCCCTGTGGCAATACTCCCATAGCTGGTTAAGTCAGCTTTAGGCCAGCTTTGAGCTTTGGGAGTGCCACAGAAACTGTCCTAATGCAAGCCAGAATCTAGGCCTGCATTTCGACCTGTGAATCTGAACTCCGCTAAACTGACAGTAGAATAATTACTTGTTTATAGATGGGCTGCTGGCTGCCTGCCTCATTCTATTACTCCCAAGAGCTGTTTCACTCATTGCCTGATTTTTCAGTACAGAAAGAAGGTTGAATGTTGACAGATGATTAAAAATTCTGTTGCTGATAATAGCGAGGCTGTTTTCTGCAGCTGGTGATGTTACAGAAGTGTCACGGTACTGGCAAGGGAGCAAGTGTTACTGTGGGAACCTGTAAGAGCTAGCATTACTAGTGAAGCCAGTAAATTTAACTGTCAGTGTGGAAGATGGTGGTGACATAGATGAAGCGAGTCTGGACTGTGTACAGTGAACAGTGTGTCAGCATTACAGATGACCTGCAGGGCAGTCTCTGCTGGTGTGTCATTGAGCTTTGCCAGTGTACCTTCTGTCATGTACCCTGACAGGTAGGTGGGTAGCCAGTGACTGAAGATCATTGCATAGCTATAATCTGAATGAAATACATTCCCCCCATGATTGCATGGCGGGAAGTTTGGACATGAAGATAGTGCTAGCTAAGGTTTTGTTGACTGAGGCAAACAAAAAGGGCAAAGAGGAAAGAAACTAATGCAGTCAGATATTATGGTGATGGTCACTGTAGAAAAATTGAGCTAAAAGTAAATAATGTTCTGCTTCAGGCTAGCTCTCTACTCTTTAGCCCTGGGGGTTATATATTTGGGGGTGCCTGTATTGATAATCCCTAGCTCATGTGGGTACCTTTTGCTGTCCCAGAAAAACAATCTTTGTTTTAATCTTCTCAATGCTGTGAAAGCAAACAGACTCCTCGAGAGCAAAGAAATGAGAAAGTTAACTTGAAATGTATCTTAGGAGCTGGAAAGATTTATGAGAACAATTATTTTTTAACTCAGTTGACTGGAGATAAGGTTACTGTGACGTTCCCCTCTGGTGTTGTCTGAACCGGTGATCTGCTAAGCCACTCCAATCCTTGACTCTGGGAGCCAACGTTACCCTGCTCTGCTGTGAGAACCCCTGGGCTATTCACGCACAGCCTCTGGCATGTAAACTGCTCCCAGGTACTTGCAAGCGAATGACACTAGCCAATATCTCCAGTCCCAGACACAACCCTAGGAAGCTCCGTCTTGTAGTGTCCAGTTGTGCCCGCTGGATGTTGCAAGCTTATATGATTTAATAAAGAAATTGATATGTACCCGGCTTGTTATCCCAAGGGGAGCCTCTGACACACTTCAAACCAAACGCACTCTTCAGGTAGAATAAACAAACAAATTTATTAACTATAAAGATAGATTTTAAGTGATTTATAAGTCAAAGCATAAAAGGTCAGATTTGGTCAAATGAAATAAAAGCTGATCTTAACATGTTCAGTGTCCTTACAAACTTAGATGCTTCTCACCACAGACTGGCTGGTTGCTCTTCAGTCAGGCTCTGCCCTTTGATCAGCGCTTCATTTGCTTGTTGTGGTGTCTGTAGATGTAGGTGGAAGAGAGAGACAGCATGGCAAATGTCTCTTCCTTTTATCATGTCTTTTCTTCCCTCTTGGCCTTGCTCCATCTCCCACTTCAGAGTCAGGTGAGCATAACCTCATTGCAGTTCCAATCTGACCAAAGGAAGGGGGGTGACTCCCTCGAGAATCTAACAGATTCTGTTGTTGCTGCCTATGCCAGCATTTTTTGTTCCTGTGAGGCTGGGCTGGGTTTGCCCCATACCTGCCCTGATGAGGTGTGAACTGCCTCTCTGCTCTTGGAGAGTTTTTGCCTGTGCTTATTTTAAGCCATGAGGATACATTTTCAGCCTCATAACTACATACATGAAATTATAACCTATAACAGTACTGTAACAATTACTATAATATCACTATAACAACCATGCTCAATGCATCAGGAGCCTTCTGAAGACACCCTACATGACAAACTTTGCATTGGATACCACACAATCATTTTACAAGGATGAACAAGGGGGTGCTGGGTGTTCCCCCGAGGTACAGAGCATCCCAGTTACTTTTTAGTAGATGTTTAATAAAGCAATCCTCCCTTGAACTGTTTGAGCAGAGTAGATCAATGTGACATTTTAAAGAATCTGAATGAAGCATTTGTTATATTGTTTACAGCTTAACCTTTCTTGCCTTTTTTTCCAGATCTTAGAAATAATAATATTCTGCATTCTTCTGTATTTCTACAAAAGAAAGGATGTGAAGCACATCGTGGTTTTGTTAATGATGGTAGCACTACTAGGTAAGAACATATTATTCTGTTTGTATAATATTCCTCTCTCTCTCACTTGACCACTCTCTGTCACTCGGTCCCCTGTGTTAGCTTATGTCAGTGCTGTGTTCAAAGGGACAATCTGAAGGGGGAATCCTTAGGTTTTTATATGGCTTCAATGAGTCTCTTTCTAACAAGCAAAGCCAATTACTCAACAAACTTTATATGCCTATTGCTAGTACTGTTTGGTTTTCTAGATTTGCAGTTTGATTCTGTGTGAATCCGACTTGTGCATGGATATTCCAAGGCTTTTTGTGTCTGCCATTTGAAGTAATCCTTTATCATTAGCTCCCTGGAAGAATGAATTACAGAGACTTTTGAAACTCCATATGTCTAGAACATATTTTGGTGACCAGGACTAGCTGAGGAAAACAAATCACTAATTTAAAAACAAAAACAGAAAACCTCTTAACCACTCTGCTTGTGTGCAGTTCTTCAGTATAACTGCCTGGGACCTTCTGCCTGCATTCCTCTACTCCCACTTATATATGAATATTTTTTTTCCAGAACTGAAGCCTTAATAAATGCAACATATTTTCCTATACTGCCTTTATAGATATGTATTAAGACTTCAGTGGTCCACTAAACTTAGTTAGAGTTTGCCATTTGCATTAACCTCTGCCTAGGTATTCCCCAGAAAATCCACTTAACACTTATTGTTCCAAAAATCCATTCTTGTCTTGTACATTTGCAGTGTAGTTCTTTGAATCCCCAGACCTTACATTTCCCCTGGAGAGTTTACGTACAATCCTGGCCCACAAGAATACATAAATCATTCATTAAATACAATGGACCTCAAAGGTACTTAAATGTAATTTGATCTCCCAAGGATGTGGTAGGATGTTGCCATGTCTGTCACACTATCATGACAAATCTCTTCACCTTTCAGCAATCCAGCCCTCATCTGGAAAGCCCAATTTCTACATGCTACCCTGTAACTGACTGAGGTTTTTAACCCCACACATCACCATGATGGTTTGTTGGTTTTTTTGTATCATACTCATTATGGGCCAGAAATTCAAGGATTCCCTTTGCTCACTTTGAGTACTACCTTGAACAATCCGATTGATTTCAATAGGAGTGTTCAAGAAGTAAGGTACTACTCAAGGGGAGCAAAGGAAATCCTTGAATTTGGCCCTAATGGTGAAATTCAAATAGGCCATCACAAGGCCTATGCACCACTTAAACCCCATGCCAGAGTTGCTCTAAGCAAAATACTTGGAACAGAACCCCAGATCTGAATCCCTTCCCCCACCCTCCTGTCCAGAGTGTTGGGAAGTTCTGAACTGTATGTCAATATGAATTTTGCACCTGGGAGCTATCTCTGTAATTGGGCAAATTGGAACTTTGGAACTGAGCTTCTTGGAGAACCTGGAATTAGATCCAAGTGATGGGACCTTGTCCCCTGCTATTAATTACTTTCCTTTAGTGTGACGAGTGCACTGTTACTCCTCTCATCTTGCCACCCCATATGTTTTGAATTTGTTCTATTTTCTGTGAGGTTATTGTAACCTCCACAATTGAGCTTCAGCAGCAAGGGCTGGGGCAAATCAAGAGCCCACGCCAGAGGAGAAGTGTGAGTACCTTTTAGTCTAGCCATCTGCACCTTTACTCGCTCAGGTAATGAGGAAGCCTGATTCTGCTCTCCAAACTGGTAGTACGTCATGCTGCAATGCTTCTCCTCCTCAACTGGCCTGAAGATTGCTGCTCAGTTTCCTTTAAAGCAAGCTTTGTTTGTGGTTATGTGCATTTCAAACCTTTTATTGGTTTAAAAAGAAAATCAGAAGAAGGGTTAAAAACCTAACTAACTTTTTAAATAGCCTGCTGATCAATATGTCTTTCTGCAGCACTGACACTCTGGGGTAAAGGCGAATAATTCTACCTTCTTAACATCTCTCTCTCTCTCTCTCTTCCAGCATCATTGACGATCATTTCAGTAAAGGCTGTGGCAGGCATGATAACATTCTCTGCAAAGGGCAAAATGCAGCTAACATACCCCATTTTCTATATCATGTTCATTACAATGGTGACATCTTGTGTTTTCCAAGTCAAGTAAGTTAGTTTTTGCTAACCTTTCTATCCATTTATCTGCTGGTTTTGCTAATTACTGGTGCATATTGACTCCTGGTGTGAATAACAGTTAAACACACCGATTGCCTTCACTGATTTTTTTAAAATGTTTTATTTATTTATTTATAATTTATTTCTCATTGGATTATTTCACTTGGATTTATTATACTGGTGCCTTCTTCTCTTATTAACAAACAATTCAGGTTCGTTCAAAATGCATGTTTATTTTTCTCACAGTTCTTAAACTCAACTGTGAAGTAAAACTTGCTGTTTTCTTTCTGTTACTTTGTCATGCAGCTTTTAGACCCATTGCTGGTAACCAATTAATCTAATAGCCAATGCGCTTTCAGTAACTTTGTCCTAAATTTAGAAAGGGAATTCTTTTTCCCACTTAGCCCTGGTCTACACTACAGAATTAATTCGGTATAACTACGTTGCTCAGGGGTGTGAATAATCCACACCCCTGAACGACATAGAATCATAGAATATCAGGGTTGGAAGGAACCTCAGAAGGTCATCTAGTCCAAACCCCTGCTCAAAGCAGGACCAATCCCCAACTAAATCATCCCAGCCAGGGCTTCGTCAAGCCTGACCTTAAAAACCTTTAAGGAAGGAGATTGCACCACCTCTCCAGGTAACCCATTCCAGTGCTTCACCACCCTCCTAGTGAAAATGTTTTTCCTAATATCCAACCTATATCTCCCTCATTGCAACTTGAAACTGTTACTCCTTGTTCTGTCATCTGGTACCACTGAGAACAGTCTAAATCCATCCTCTCTGGAACCCTCTTTCAGGTATTTGAAAGCAGCTATCAAATCCCCCCTCACTCTTCTCTTCTGCAGACTAAACAATCCCAGTTCCCTCAGCCTCTCCTCATAAATCATGTGCTCCAGACCCCTAATCATTTTTGTTGACCTCCGCTGGACTCTTTCTAATTTTTCCACATCCTTCTTGTAGTGTGGGGCCCAAAACTGGACACAGTACTCCAGATGAGGCCTCACTAATGCCAAATACAGGGGAATGATCACGTCCCTCGATCTGCTGGCAATGCCCCTCCTTAAACAGCCCCAAATGCTGTTAGCCTTCTTGGCAACAAGGGCACACTGTTGACTGATATCCAGCTTCTGGTCCACTGTAACCCCTAGGTCCTTTTCTGCAGAACTGCTGCCTAGCCATTCGGTCCCTAGTCTGTAACAGTGCATGGGATTCTTCCTTCCTAAGTGCAGGACTCTGCACTTGTCCTTGTTGAACCTCATCAGATTTCTTTTGGCCCAATCCTCTAATTTGTCTAGGTCCCTCTGTATCCTATCCCTACCCTCCAGCATATCTACCACTCCTCCCAGTTTAGTGTCATCTGCAAACTTGCTGAGGGTGCAGTCAATGCCATCCTCCAGATCATTAATGAAGTGTAGGGGGTGGACACCCGCTGCTGCTTGGGAGGGCTGGAAAGCAGCCCTGGAGAGGGCTGCAGCTCTAAAAGCTGGGCTGATTGGGGAAGCAGCCGCAGCTGGGCCACGCCCCAATCAGGCCACAGCTGGCCTGTATAAAAAGGCTGTGAGCCAGGATACCAAACAGTTTCTCTTTGTTTGTAGAGGGAGATAGGCCTGGCTGCAGGGAGCTAGAGACAGGATACCTGAGTGGAGCAGGGCTGAGGAAAGGCAGAGGAGCCAGGGAGCGCCAGCCTGGAAAGCCCCGGGCTGCGGCCTAGCAAAAGGCAAATAGGTACTGGGGGTTGTAGAGGGCAGCCCAGGGGTAGGCAAAGGCAGCAGGTCCAAACCCAACCTTGACAATGATGAGTGGCTTATACTGCAGTCTGCCCCAGGGAGCGGGGGCTAGTTGGTGACTGGCAGTGGCCTTATTCTGAGGCAAGGTGGGGATAGTGGGTGGAGGTTCCCCGGGGAGGGGAGACCCAAAGAGAAAGGGGTTACTGCCAGGGGGCAGCCCCCCAGATAAAGGGGCACCGGGTCCTGGGAGGGACACGGGGGCCAAGAGGCAGTGGGACACCAGCCGACTCCTTACATGAAGATATTGAACAAAACTGGCCCCAGGACCGACCCTTGGGGCACTCCGCTTGATACCAGCTGCCAACTAGATATGGAACCATTGATCACTACCCGTTGAGCCCAATGACCAGCCAGCTTTCTATCCACCTTATAGTCCATTCATCCAGCCCATACTACTTTAACTTGCCGGCAAGAATACTGTGGGAGACAGTATCAAAAACTTTGCTAAAGTCAAGGAATAAAACGTCCACAGTTTTCCCCTCATCCACAGAGCCAGTTATCTCATCATAGAAGGCAATTAGGTTAGTCAGGCATGACTTGCCCTTGGTGAATCCATGCTGACTGTTCCTGATCACTGCATCAGAATTGATTCCTTGAGGACCTGCTCCATGATTTTTCCAGGGACTGAGGTGAGGCTGACTGGCCTGTAGTTCCCCGGATCCTCCTCCTTCCCTTTTTTAAAGATGGGCACTACATTAGTCATTTTCCAGTCATCCGGGACCTCCCCCAATTGCCATGAGTTTTCAAAGATAATGGCCAATGGCTCTGCAATCACATCCGCAATCCAACCTAAGCACCAGTGTAGACAGTGCTATTGTAACCCACACACCTTGTGGGGGTGCGGGGGAGGGGAGAGACAGACAGACAGAGACTGCTCTACAGCCTTACTAAGAGCCAGCTTTTACCTTATGCAGTAGAGGCTCATGCACTAAGCTCCAAAGGCCCCAGATTCTATCCCAGCCACCGACAACCAGAGTCTGTCAGTATTACACTATGTTGGTGAAAGAGCTTCTCGCAGAGGTGGATTAACTGAACCGACAGAAGAACCTCTCTCCCTTCAGCTAAGAGGGTCTTCATTAAAGCGCTACAGCTGCATCGATGCAGCATTTTAAGCCTAGATCTGCTCTTAGATTTATGTTCACCTTTTGTCCTAAGGTGGAAGCAATAGATTATCCTCCCATCCCCTTTGGCTAAATCTGCATACTGTGTTTGGCCTCTGAGAAATTTGTGCCTGAAGTGCAAGCGAGGTATGGCTGAGCCTCTCTAGAAATAGTTAACTTTTGGAGAGCACTCTGCAAAATCAGGATTTTTCCTGCCGGGCTCTGGCCTGCTAAGGGCTGGTCCACACTAAGCCCCCAGTTCGAACTAAGATACGCAACTTCAGCTACATTAGTCGAAGTATCTTAGTTCAAACTTAAAGGTACTTACCGCAGGTCCACACGCGGCAGGCAGGCTCCCCCATCTACTCCGCCTGTTCCTCTCGCGGAGCAGGATTACCGGCGTCGACGGTGAGCACTTCCAGGATAGATTTATCACGTCTAGACAAGACGCGATAAATCGATCCCAGAAGATCGATTGCTTGCTGCCAAACCAGCAGGTAAGTATAGACGTACCCTAAGTGATCATTGTATTGCTGCCACTGGAGACTGCTGCTGCCATCAGAAATGTAAAATAGAACTCCCAGCTGAATGGAGAATCCATTCTCTTTATCCTTGTCCCTATGCTTCTGGTGCAGATTGCACCATTCAATGCACTTGTACAGGTTGCTCCAGATTAATTTGGAATGTTTGTTTTCATTGTTTTTAATGAAATAGCCAACCTAGCACTCTAGTGGCAGCGCTATCATAGGGGAATCAGGATTCCCTTTGGAGAAAGCCTGTGCATCATTCTGCAGTGACTCTGGAACTCCCTGTCACAGATTGTAGCATAGTTCACACCCAGATCTTTGCTGGGAGAAGAGTTCAGGGCATTTAAGAGAGGAAATAGAGCTTGGTAAATGGGAGGCTGCTGAATGATTCTCTTCTCCTTCGGCAGATTGATTTTTTTTTTTTCTTCCTTCACTTGGTCAAAACTCAAACAAAGGCAAAATGTGGCCACTTTGCTTCCTGGGCCCAATATCTGTCTTCTTCCATTCCACCTGAGCAGACTTTTCAAAAGGAGACAATGCTGTTACTCCTGACTCTCCCCCCCCCCCCATTTTACCTAGATCTCTCACCAAGTTAGTTTATTTTACTGATTCTTGAGAACTCAGAACAGCTTTTGTTACATCTTTTGGGGACTTGCTGCTAAGCATCAGCATCTATGCTTCGGTCCCTGAGACTAAGATTATTGCAAATGAGAGAAAATAATGAGGTGTTTTCAGTGACTTCAAAATCCTGACTATCCTGTGGATATGTAGGATTTCTTTATTTTTAAAGCACCATGGAGACTGCTCAACAGTCACTAAAATAACCTTGCAATTACTTTAATGGCTAAAACAGATCAGAGTTTGGATTTTTACTATTCACATATATTGTACCAATGAAACGTTTAAGCATAGTTCTTTTTATAGGTTTCTAAAACACTCTGCCATCTCTTAATATTTCTTTCTGTTTCAAATGCATTGTTGGCAGGATACAGTATGTGGGGGGTGCAGTGACACTGAATTTACAAAGATACATTCCAGTGTTCACAGGCATGATTCATAATCCTATGGGTAGATATGGATGTGGCAGGTTGTAATACTTCTGCATGAGACTTTCATTCTCCTTCAACATGATGAATTGCTTTGTTTTTGTTACGGGATTAAATAGACCATGAAGGTTGGTGTAAGAACACATACATCCAAGTGTTGTCCTACATGTCCTTGTATAGTGCACAACCCCGTTGCACTCCAGCTGAGGCTACGGGAGAGGTTCTGTGTTGTGCTTCTGAGAGGTGCCGCACTGAACATGTAGCCTAAAGGGCTAAGGTAACTGTAAATCACCTTTTTGTGCCTTCCCAACTCTGCTGCTCTGGGAGCCAACGTGGCCTGTAGTGTAAATGAGATGATCATCCATGGCTACTAAACTACATCAACCTGCCCCCAGCTGCCTGTGGGGAGAGGTGCTGCCCAAAATCTCCATGGTGCTATGTACTGTGGCCCCACCCCGAGGCCTGCCACGACCCCTGCATCAGTGCTTGGGTGGGGGCTAGGGTGATCAGGTGTCCGGTTTTGACTGGAACACCCGGTCAAAAAGGGACCCTGACGGCTCTGGTCAGCATTGCTGACCAGGCCATTAAAAGTCTGGTGGGCAGTGCTGTGGAGCTAAGACAGGCTACCCCCTACCTGTGATGGCTCTGCGCTGCACCCTGGAAGGGGCCAGCAGGTCCGGCTCCCAGGCGGTGGGGAGGGGCACAGGGCTCCATGCGCTGCCCCTACCCCAAGCACTGGTTCCGCACTCCCATTAGCTGGGAACTGCGGCCAATGGCAGCTGCAGTGGCGGTGCCTGCAGGCGAGAGCAGTGCGCAGAGCCGCCTGCCACGCCTCCACCTAGGAGCTGGACCTGCTGCTGGCCGCTTCTGGGGCGCAGCACGGAGTCAGGACAGGCACGAAGCTTGCCTTAGTCCCCCCGCTGCGCTGCTGACCGAGAATCGCCGGAAGTAAGCCCATGCCCAACCCTCCTGCCCCAGCCCTAAGCCCTTCCCCAAACCTGGAGCCCTCTCCTGCACCCCAAACCCCTCATCCCCCACCCTACCCCAGAGCCTGCACCCTCAGCCTAGAGCCCGTACCCCCTCCTGCACCCCAACCCTCTGCCCCAGCACAGAGTCCCCGCCCATATCCTGCACTCCTGTGTCCCACCCCCCAGCCTGGAGCCCCCTCCTGAACTCCAAACCCCTCATCCCCGGCCCCACCCCAGAGCCCCCAGCCGGAGCCCTCATCTCCTCCCACACCCCAATGCTCTGCCCTAGCCTGGAGCCCCCTCCCGCACCCTGAACCCCTAATTTCTGGCCCCACCCTGGAGCCCGCACCCCCAATTAAAGGCCTCACCCCCTCTTGCACCCCAGCCCAGTGAAGGTGAGTGAGGGTGGCGGACAGCGACCCACCGGTGGAAGGGAAATGTAGTGAGCGGGGGGCAGGGCCTCGGGGAAGGGGACGTTGTCTGGGGAAGGGGCGGGATTAGGGTGTTCGGTTTTGTGCAATTAGAATTTGGCAATCCTAGTGGGGGCCCTCAGCAGACAGTCCACGGCTGTTTACCTCTGACATAGGGAAGGAGGTATTCTTCCCTGTGAGAATCTGTGGCTTTTTAAGCCCCTTTTATTCAGAGTACAGGAGCTGGAACAGGGGTGAGAGTCTTGCGTGGTGTGTGAGCACAAGTCAAGTTAAACATTAAGGTTAAATACCATAAAAAGGGCAGGATTTGGGTGCTTTACTGGAGATGGCATGGTTTGTCCTTAATGTGCTGGCAGGTTTGGTGAGCTCCTTTCTCCTGCTGTGACGCTGACTTTTGTCTTTGGGAATAGCAGGCGCTTGTACACTTTGATACTCTCCAACTATTTCCCAGCTGTGATTGCACATGCTTCTCCTCCCACCTATCTTTGAAGGCAGTGAGCTCCAGAAGGGTCCATGCAAATACATGAGGCCTGCATGATAGCTCTTTTGAATTTTCTCCAAAAAATTGTGCGACTCTGAGAAATGGTAGTTGCTTGCTACCAAAGTGGCTTCCAAATGGGGCCCAGGTGGATTTGCCAAAGCTGTTTAAACAGAGGAGTGGTTTCCAGGCATGCTGACCCCCACTGAGAGATCAATTCTGCAGTGACTGGTGCAGTGTGGGATAGTAATGGGAGGCCTGTTCACTTATATAAGAAGTGGGATGCATCCACTGGAGCTAAATTGATTTAACTGCCATCAAAATAGAGTTGTGGCATTTGCAAAATGGCTTCATTAAATAAATGTAAATCCAGTGATCTTGCAATGGGAGATGTGTGTGAACACATGCCAGCTCCCACCAAAATAAGGAGAACTATACTAACTTCTGTGTGGAGACCAGGCCTTATTCCTCTGCGCTAAACGGAATAAAGGCTCAAATCTCCTGCTTGCTTCCTTGCTCAGAAACATAATCTATCTCCCACAGTATTCTTGCCAGCAAGTTAAAAAAGTATGGATTGGATGAATGGACTAGAAGGTGGATAGAAAGCTGGCTAGATTGTTGGGCTCAAGGGATAGTGATCAATGTCGATGTCTAGTTGGCAGCTGGTATCAAGTGAAGTGCCCCAAGGGTCGGTCCTGGGGCTGGTTTTGTTCAACATCTTCATTAATGATCTGGATGATGGGATGGATTGCACCCTCAGCAAGTTCGCAGATGACACTAAGCTGGGGGGGGGAGAGGTAGATACGCTGGAGGGTAGGGATAGGGTCCAGAGTGACCTAGACAAATTGGAGGATTGGGCCAAAAGAAATCTGAGGTTCAACAAGGACAAGTGCAGAGTCCTGCACTTAGGAAGGAAGAATCCCATGCACTGCTACAGGCTGAGGACCAATTGGCTAAGCAGCAGTTCTGCAGAAAAGGACCTAGGGATTACAGTGGACGAGAAGCTGGATATGAGTCAGCAGTGTGTCCTCATTGCCAAGAAGGCTAACGGCATATTGGGCTGCATTAGTAGGAGCATTGCCAGCAGATCAAGGGAAGTGATTATTCCCCTCTATTTGGCACCGGTGAGGCCACATTTGGAGCATTGCGTCCAGTTTTGGGCCCCGCACTCCAAGAAGGATGTGGACAAATTGGAGAGAGTCCAGTGGAGGGCAACGAAAATGATCAGGGGGCTGGAGCACATGACTTACGAGGAGAGGCTGAGGGAACTGGGCTTGTTTAGTCTGCAGAAGAGAAGAGTGAGGGGGGATTTGATAGCAGCCTTCAACTACCCGAAGTGGGATTCCAAAGAGGATGGAGCTCGGCTGTTCTCAGTGGTGGCAGGTGACAGAATAAGGAGCAGTGATCTCAAGTTGCAGTGCGGGAGGTTTAGGTTGGATATTAGGAAACACTATTTCATTAGGAGGGTGGTGAAGCACTAGAATGCGTTACCTAGGGAGGTGGTGGAATCTCCATCCTTAGAGGTTTTTAAGGCCCGGATTGACAAAGCCCTGGCTGGAATGATTTAGTTGGTGTTGGTCCTGCTTTGAGCAGGGAGTTGGACTAGATGACCTCCTGAGGTCTCTTCCAACCCTAATCTTCTATGATTCTATCCCAGGTATAGTGGCCCGATGCAAAGCCCAGTCAGTGGAAAGATTCCTGTTGATTTTGGTGGGCTTTGGATCAAGCTCTTAAAAAGGGGAAGAGGGTGGGTGTTTGAAGAGACAAAAACTTAAGCCTCTTCATGCTAATCAGCATTTAGCTATGTGTCAACAGGCTAGATCTTACTCCTGCTAATAGGCAGGAATAATTTGGCAGTCATACAACATTACTCTCATTGATTCAGAGTTGGATTTCCTGTGCTCATCATCTTTTATCTTGCACTATTCATTTGTACTATGCGGGGTCAAAACCAGTATGCATATCTGCTGCAGACGCCAACATGTACTGCGCTGTTAGGTGTTTTAATGTGAAAGTATTACACCTATTACTACACTTAGTGCACAGCACACTTTGTATCCAGGAGATGTAATAACTGCCTTCTTTTAGGTTCTTAAATCAATCTATGCAGCTCTACAATGCAACAGTCGTGGTGCCGATTAACTTTGTGTTCTTCACAACCAGCGCCATCATTGCAGGTTTGTTTTTACTTTTTATCCAAACAAAAGCTCTTTCTAAATAGCAAGATTGAATTCTCTTCTTTGAATCAGGAATGCTAACAAGTCACTTTTATCTTCAAGGAGAGATCTTTATGTAATATGACAGGTGTATATTTTGAAAATGATCATAAGTTCAGAACTTTGAAATAAAATTAAATGCCATCAGATTCTAGCTTTTCCAGTACAATACAGCCATGTACAGTTTATTCTGCTTTACTGGCTTATTAGGTACTGTCATTAGTATTAGCCTCCTCTGGAAGTACCATAAATGTGTTTACCATGTGTACATTGGCCTCTCCATATCCTAGCTAGTAAAGTAATTTTAATAGTGTGGCAAGCTACTCAAATGACAGACAGCTGTGTTTTGTAGTAGTTTGTGTATTATATTTCAGAACGCTGCATTCTAGGTTAAGTGAAGGAAATAAAATACTCCAAAGGCCTTTAAACCTTATAACGTTTTATTCTGGGTGAGAACTTTGAACTTGCTCTCATTAAAGAGAGACTGAAAATCTTGGAAATTATCTGCACTGAAAGAACAAGAGAGGAGAGAAAGATGATGACGTCTACACTGAAAAAAAATTCTGCCGCACTGAGTCTCTGAGCCCGGGTCAATTGACTTGGGGGGAGGGATAGCTCAGTGGTTTGAGCATTGGCCTGCTAAACCCAGGGTTATGAGCTCAATCCTTGAGGGGGCCATTTAGGGAATGGGGGTGTATGGGTTGTTGTTTTTTTTAATTAAAAAAAAGAAAACTGTCTGGGGATTTGTCCTGCTTTGAGAAGGGGATTGGACTAGATGATCTCCTGAGGTCCCTTCCAACCCTCATATTCTATGATTCTATGACTCAGACTTGTGGGGCTAAAAATAGCAGTGTGGACATTCAGGCTGGATCTGGAACCCAGGCTTTGAAACCTGGTCAAGGGGTTGGGGCTCCAGCCCGGTTAGGAATATCTGTACTACTATTTTAAGCCCTGCAGTATGAGCCCAAATCTGTTGACCCGGGCTCTAAGACTCAGATTTTTATTTTTTTTAGGGCTGTCAATCAATTGCAGTGAACTCAAATGATTAACTCAAAACAAATGAACTCAATTAAAAAAAATAATTGCAATTAATCTGAGTTTTAATCGCACTGTTAAACAATAATAAAATGCTAATTTACATTTATTATAAATATTTTGGATTTTTTCTACATTTTCAAATATATTGATTTCCATTACAACACAGAACACAAAGTGTACAGTGCTCCCTTTATTATATTTTTATTACAAATATTTTCACTGTAAAAAAGATAAAAGAAATAGTATTTTTTTAATTCACCTCATACAAGTACTGTAGTGCAATCTCTTTATCATGAAAGAGCAACTTACAAATGTAGATTTTTTTGATTACATAACTGCACTCAAAAACAAAGCAATGTAAAACTTTAGAGTTGACATGTCTACATTTGTAGGTTGCACTTTCATGATAAAGAGTGACTACAATATTTATATGAGGTGAATTGAAAAATATTATTTCTTTTGTTTATCTTTTTTACAGTGCAAATAGTTGTAATTAATAATAATACAAAGTGTACAGTGCTCACTTTGTATTCTGTGATGTAATGGAAATCAATATATTTGAAAACGTAGAAAACATGCAAAAATATTTAAATAAATGGTATTCTATTATTGATTAACAGTGCAATTAAAACTGCGATTAATAATAATTATTTTTAATCATTTGAAGCCCTAATTGTTTATGTATTTATTTAATTTATTGTAGTATAAATGTACCTAAAGATCCTGTTTCAGCAATAAGCCAAAATTATACAGCTATAATATTTATGACTGATTTTAACGTACACGGGGCAGTCCTGTCATTGGTCTGCAGGAAATTTAATATTCAGAACTTCCATTAATGGTAAAGGGAGTTCCATGAAGATTGCCTCAGCAGCTGTGTTAGAACAGACCTGCGCTTTGTGACCAAGAGGAGACATTGGCCAAAAGGGCTTGCACTGGAGTAACCATATGGAGAGTTTGGTCTTGTGCCTACTTTTTTTAAAGGCCACATCCTTATTCAGGATCATCTATATCAGTGGTTCTCAAACTTTTTTTTTTGCGGACCACTTGAAAATTGCTGAGGGTCTTGGCGGACCACTTAATGATCTTTCCAAATGTTGTTTGTACCATTAGCTAACTATTGTAAAGCGCTTTGGATAAAAGCGCTATGTAAAAAACCTTAATAGTAATTAACTTTTTTTCTTCTACAAATAAAAGCACACAACTCATATTTTAATATCGGTAGTCTTACCTTTCTAATGCGATGGATGTGCCCTCTCTCCCCCGCCACGGCAGTCCCCAAGCTGGGGCTGGGAAAGAGGGCGGGTCTCTCCCTCTCTCCCCTGCCGCGGCAGCCCCACAATATGAACTGACATAAAGTTAGATGGGTGTCCCTTCATTCTCTCATGTGCAGCCGCCCAGGCACGCACCTTACAGGGAACTATCTGTGGACCACCTGAATGGAGCTTGCGGATCACTGGTAGTTCACGAACCACAGTTTGAATACCTCTGATCTATATACAAATCTGCACCTGTTTAGTTAAACGAGCTAAAATGGTGCAAGCCCCTATGTGGCTTAAGAGAAAGTTATTGCCGTTTTAAATGTGTTCCTAATTGTCTAAGCTAAACCGAAATAAACCTGATTTAATCTGAAGTAAGAGTGTCCACAGAGCCTTTTGTACTTAACTTTATTGGTTTAAAACAACACATTTAGTTAAATTGCTGCAACTCTGCATGTAGACAAGCCCTCAGTCTGAGCCTGACCTGAATAAACACTGTGTAAGGACCTCTATGTAATTCAACAAGGTTTCATTCTTTAAAAATATCTTTTACACTTAACAAGGGTTTTCAGTTGTTGGCAATATAAAATGTGACTATACTGAACAATTAACAACACAAACAAGAAGTCCAAACCTGGTAGAGTGAGATCTTATCAAGATATATGCAATTACTATTATCTAAAAAAAGGCATAGATACTGAATATGGGCATATAATATGAACCCACCCAAAATTTGTATTGACGTATTTGGGATTTTTTTCCACTTGATCATAACCTACCTTCTGACCCTGTCATCAGTAATTCACTTCACTTGGAATTTGTTCAAGATCTGCATTTCTTGTTTTTGTCACATTCTAGGGGTCATATTTTATCAGGAATTCCAAGGTGCATCTTTGCTGAGTGTGTTCATGTTTCTATTCGGGTAAGTGTATTTACTGAAAATCTGTAACAAAGTTTGTATCGAAACAGCAGTTACCTTTCCAAACAACTTTTCCTTTTCTCCTGAAGAAGAAACCTATTCCATTGCAATGTGTTAGGGAGCAGCTGTTACAGTAGGATAAAAAACATTACAAAGGCTAATATTTGTGTTTTGTTATAAGGGCCTGTTTTTGAATCCAAACCTGTAAAAATATTAATATTTGCCATTTGTGAGCCCCTATCTCTCCCACTCTCCCCAATGGAATGAAAAGCTAACATTACATGCTCCCTTTGTAAATGAGACAAATCATTGGCTGTTTTCCATCAATGATCACATTGTGGAGTATGTACTGATTAGTGCTAGAAAAGTCCCTCCCTCCATGTTATCTTCTACCTGCTGTTCTCTGCTGCTACTAGCCATGGGAAATACTGTTAGTTAATCACACAGAAGGCACCATGCTCACTTTAGTAACGGCATGCCTCTCTCCTGTTGCCTTTGGATAGGAAGGGACAATCTGTCTGTTGGTGATTATAGATCCTGTCATGCTAAGTAAGTGGTAGCAGTAAATGCTTGAAGGGCAGCCTACCCGTCATACAGCCAAGTGAAACAGAAGCAGCCACAGATTCCTCAGGAGTTGCCAGTACAGTAAAGGCTCAGGTGATGGGTGAGAGATCATTGTTGATGGGAATGGGATACTTAACACACAAGTGGAAGAACAGTTCCCAAAATTCTTAATCAGATGCCAGGCCCTAATGTAGTCAAACAAACGCAACTGACAATTGTATGTGACCACTCCCACTGGAGGTAGGACTGAGCGGCCCCATAGAACTATTTAATGGTTTGTGTGACTGACAGTGTTTGTAGTGGAAGTGGTAGAAAATGAAGATAAGCAAATTAAATGCACACACTTGGCAGGCGTGAAGTTGATGTTGTGTACAGCCTTAGAGGGACAGAAGACACTTACTAAGCAGTTGAAAATCACTGCCGGCCAGAAGCCTGGTTCTGAGACACAAAAGTCAAATGAGCGAAACAAAGGGCCTGTCTAGACTAGAGTTTTTGGTTGTGTTGTAACTTGAGTTAACTAATAATCAATTTAACTGTAAATGTTAGTCTAGATACTCCACAAACAATTGTTCCAGGATGCAAATGTGTTTTCCTTGCTGTGGCTCAATTTGGGGCTCAGCTCAGCTTTCTCACATCAGTTCCTTTGAAGTCAGTGAGATTAGGTGTGTGAGTAAGGCAAGCAGCCTTTGAAAACCCACAGGAATCCATAAGCTGCCAAGGGATTGTCGAGAGCATAATTTGGTCCCCAGAACCTTTGTTACTTTCTCAAACCGCACTCCCAGTTAAGAGCCCAGCCTGACATTGGGTCTGACACAGCAAAGAAAAACCTCAGGGCTGTTTCATTGCTGTGTAGACGTCTGGGCTCAGACTAGAGCCTGGCCTCTAGGATCCTGCGGGGTAGAGGGTCCCAGAGCTCAGGCACCAGCCTGAGCTCGGGATCCTACACAGCAATGAAATAGCCCCGCAGACTGAGCCAGGCGAGCCTGAGTCGGCTGGCATGGGCCAGCCATGTTTTTTTATTTGCTGTTTAGACAGACCCACTGAGCCCTGGATGAGTTTGCTGGGCTGCCAGTCATGAAAAACTAATTCTCTTTACTTGTAAACTGAGCAGCTCAGATATGGAAGCTGTTGAGAGAGAAACACGGATACCCAGGACCAGGGCCGGCTTTAAGCCGATTCGGCTGATTCCCCGGAATGGGGCCCCGCGCCTAAGAGGGCCCCGCAACGTCCGGGGCTGCCAGCAGAGCGGGGGGGGGAAACGCGTCCTGCTTCTCCCCCCTCCCTCCAGCACTTGCGCCGCTATACAGCTGATCAGCGCAAGCCTGGGAGGGAGGGGTGAGGAGGAGGAATGCAGCGTGCTTGGGAAGAGGCAGGGCCAGGGCGGGGATTTCAGGAGGGATGCAATGGGGCAGGGAGGGGGCGGGGATTTGGGGAGGGATCCAATGGGGCGGGGCTGGGGGGCGGGCTCAGGGTGGGGATTTCAAGAGGGATCCAATGGGGCAGGGAGGGGCGGAGTTGGGGCGGTGGGGGGGCGCGAGACAATTCGCGACCTGATGTGGGGCCGCAAACCTGCTAAAGCCGGCCCTGCCCAGGACAAGACCCACACTTCAAATGCAATGAGCTGCTTCTAACCTTATTTTCACAATGCCTTTGCAGGTGTCTTCTGTCATTTCTTGGCGTGTTTGTAATCACACGAAATCGAGAAGAGGAGCATTTGCAAGTTCCTTATATTGATTGCGGACACATTCCTGGTAAGCATGGTTTTGGACGTTCTTTGTTAAATATTTGCCAATCATCTATGTTTAAAAGTCTAAAAGCATCAGGTAATGGAGTGGGGAATGAATGGAGAGAATTGAAGCAGAAATATTCTCCAATCATATTTAATAAACATACTTTTCTTCATTTCTATTCCTATTTCCAATTGATTTTTTTCAAAGACTTTCTTAAATCGTTTCTTAACTATTTCCACAGCCTATCAAAGGAAAACAAAAGGTGTCTAGCCTGAGGAGCCTTTAACAGAAAAATAATGGATTAGCAGGATTGTGATTTTTTGTTTGTTTGTTTGTTTCCCACAGGGAAAAAAGAGATTGACAAAATACAGCCGGATTCAAACAGCTTATCCTATGGCACTTTGCATGATGAAGATGACTGGACGAGTGCTCAGAGCTAAGAGCAGCTTCAATTCCAGTGAACAAGAGGAACTCTCTATTCATTGACATCATATTCATCACCCCATGTTGATTGCATATATTCAGTGTGTGTGTCATGTTGTTTTATGTTGAGAACCCTTAGTGTTATTTAAGTATCCTTAAATATCCCCTGCCTATCACAAATGTGTTACGATTAGCACAAATGTGTTACGAATAGCAAGGAGGGCTGTTAAGCTAGTAACCATTAAATGGAGCTGGACATTTTCCTGGTAAAATATCTTTTACTGGTGGTTTAGGGTCAAGTTTTTAAAGGTATTTAGATGTCTAAAGATGCAACTAGCCACATAGTGGGATTTTCAAAAGCACCCATTTCACCTGCCTGCATTTATAGGTGCTTAATTCCTTTAAAAATCAGTCATCAAAATATAGTGTGTTTCTATGTAAGCATCTGTTGAGAGAAATTCTGCTTACCTTATTCATACAGCTAGTCCCGTTACCTTCAAAGGAACTACACATGTGAGTAAGGGGAGTGGGATTTGTTCCAATACATAAAATGGATGCATACACATGATATGTAATTTATGTTGAGATACGGTAAAAGGCTTGGCATTATAAATTCCTCCAAAGGAGTCCTCTGGGAGGGGAGCTTGTCTCTGTCCTGCTGGATTGGAGCAGCAAGCAGCTATTTCAGTACAATCCGTTCTGAGCCTTGACCCCTCTGTCTTCATTAGAAAATATGTTTTTGGTGGGGATTTTGAAGAGGGTACACACTATTCCAATAGAGAAATGGGAAGCCAACCTTCCACTGCTGTAGTATTTTGAATAGGCCCGGCTGGGGAAAAAGTGAGTTCAATATATGGGGCCCAGTCCACGAAAATGTTGTGTGGGTAAAAGAATCAGAATCACGAAGGATAAGCCACTGGGCTAAAATATATCTTTTTCCTTCCTAAAAAGACTTCCCTGCATTAAGCTAGAGAGCTAGTACTGGCAGCAGCTGTGGTCATACAGACTGAGTTTGGAACTATGAATCAGAAAGTTGTAATCCTACTGTAGCTGCTGACTCACAGGAGAAAGTTACTTATGGCCATAGGGAGCTACACAGCCTCAGTTTCTGCTTCTGTCTGATAATACCGATCTACCTCATGGGCATGTTGTGAGGATTAGATGGGTGCTTTGGGGGGAAAGAAGAAGCACTTTATAAGTGTTCAGGGTTACTATTTGAACCTTGTACAAAATACTTTTGCTCTTTTTAAAGTGCATGTCATATATCATATGCAGCTAGCTTCAATGAGGTCCTCTGAATGATGCCTCCTTTAAACACAATATTTTTGTAATCAGTAATTTTATTTTAGAAGAGATCCAGTCAAAGTGACTTCAGTAGTTTAACACTGTCATTTGTTTATAAGACATGTTGAAGTACCTAGAGAATGGTACATTTTGCTATACATTAGTCTCCCTACATCCACGATTTATGACATTTTATTATTTATGATTTAAGCTTTTGCAAATTGGGATAGAGCCATGTACCCATGGATTCAATACCACCCTCCCCCACTTTTCTATTAGGAAAATAAATTCCTTCTTTGAGGAAGCCACCCATTTATATCTCTCAGATGCCCAATGAGTCTTCCAGCAAAAACAGGAAAGACTAGACTTTACATTACTGATCAATCTACGGTAAAAATGCAGATTTTTTTTTAACACACCCTAAAGAATCAAAAGGGCACTAACTGAATTTTTCTTTCCTTTGTAGTTCAACTTTAAGTACCCTTTTTACCTGTCAAGTGAAAGTGTGTGCTAAAGATGGAAATAAGATGTCTATAACTTTGATTGCTATTATTTCCTAGAAATATTATTTTTTTAAGTATTGGCAGCAGATACCTCTCTGAAATTTGTTTCCACAATTTGGGAGGGGTGAAGGAGGAAATTCTCCCAGGATTTTCTAGTGACAGTTGGAAATTGGATGCAAAATCTCTGGGTAAATCCATTATTTATTTCAAAAGTACAGTAATTCTGTGTGACACGTCACCTCCTTCTGACGATTTAATAAAAAATAAAATGATGTTCTATAGATGGGGAGGGGTAACTTTTGGTGTAAAATTAAGTGATATGTAATTACACAATTAACAATGGTTATCAGACCTGATATAGAGACTTAGGCACACTTTAGTTAATCTACATAAGTTCACGTTACACTATTGTAATGTATAGTAATGGAGCATATTACTGCTCCAAAAAAATAAACTTCTCAGTTTCACTTTGTTTAGAATTGGCTTCTAGTCAATTTCAGATTGCACTAGTTATGTTTAGGTTGCAAACACTATAGGGAAGTGTTTGTTAAAATATAAACCTTTTCATTGGACTCTAAAGAAAAACATAGAAATGTTTTTGATTGTATTAAATTTTGTAAGAACCTTTTCTTTCCCCAAGATCAAAATTTTGGGCCAAATGTGATCTTTGAAACCTGTTCTGCAAGTTGAATCTGCCTAGAGCCTGAACAGGTACAATATAAAATCTACAGAAATAAATAGAAGGGTGACCCAAAGTCAGGCCCTCTGAATGGTTTCTGCAGCATCTAGTTTGTGGGTCTGACAAACCAGGGCCAGCTGGATTGATTCAACCCTTGTTACACTGCTGATAGAGACGGGGTGGGGGGGGGGAGTCAGAATGTTAACTTGTAGAGTATGGGACTGGAAACAGGAACTTTTGAATTCTAATCATGGCTCTGCCATTGATTCTGCATGGGACTTTTGCAAATGACTTAACCTCTCTCTCTCTCTCTTTCTCTCTCAAAAGTGCAAGATCCACATTGGTGGATGGTCACATGGACATGACTGGAAAGCTCAGCCACCTAGATTTGTTTATAATTCTATTCAAAAATTAGTGTGTCATCAATACACTTTTAGGACCAGATTGCCCAGTCTAGGTCCATTTTGTGTCATGTAAGTGGTGCAAAGTGGCCTTAAAATGGCTTGAGATGACCAGTTGTTAATTCCTCCTATTCAGGAGAACACTCACGTGGTAGAGGCTGGTCTGCCACCTCCTGTACCAGCCACCCACTCAACCCTTGGAGTAGGTGGGGAGTAGTGGTGGGAACAGTGTTCCCCTACCCAGTGGCGTAGGCAGGTTCTAAGAGCAAGGGGCGCAAACATAAAAAAGGCACCCCTCCTTGTTCCTCCAGCCGCGCCGCACCCCCATAGCTGTAGAGGGAGGCTGGCAGAGGACAGGGGGTTTGAGGGGAGGATGTGGAGGGAGGGGGGACAGGGGGGGTTGACTTGAGGGGAGATGGAGGGAGGGTGGCAGAGGATGGGGGGTACGAGGGGAGGTGAAGGGGAGGGAAAGGCAGGGGCACGGGATACATGGGAGGTGTACATGGGGTATGGAGCTTGGGGAGTGGGCTGGGGTCCTTGGGGCTCTCTGTGCAGAGGGGGCTGGAGCTGCCCCCGGGACCGGGAGAGCCTGGGAGTCTGCTGCCTGCCCTTCGCTGCTTCTTTCCGGGGCCGGCCGCTAGGCCCGGCCCAGCCAGCAGCAGAGAACAAACCCCACTGTCACTGCCTCGGAGGGGCTCGCCGCGTGCAGTGCCAGCTCAGGCTCAGCGCTGGCGCTACCCCTTGAGGGGGGTGGGGGCAGAACGCCGTGAGTCCCGCCAGGCGCGGTCTGAACTGCTCCTCCCCTCCCCCCACTCCTCCGGCCGTGGCTGCTGGCCGCGCTTCGGGCTGCATGCTGCACCCTCCCGCTCCCTCGGCCGGAGCCCTGGGAGGAACGGTGCGAAACCCCCGGACCTGCTCTCCCGGCCGCAGCACCGGACTCTGCTCCCCGCCCCGGTTGCAGTGCCGGCCGGAGCACCGCGAGGCCCCTGGACCCGCTCCCCCACCCAGAACCCCGGGCGGAGCGCAGAGAAACCCCTGGATCCGCTCCCCCGGCCGGAGACCCGGGAGGAGCGCAGCGATCCCCCCAGACCCGCTCCCCCGACTGGAGCCCCAGGCGGAGCGTGGCCAGACCCCCGGACTCGCTCCCTGGCCAAAGCTCCAGGCAGAGTGCAGCGAAACCAGCCTGCGCCCCCCCACGCTCCTCCAGCCGCTTTTGGAAAGGCGCGGCTTTGGGGAAAATGTGCTGAGGGGAGGCGGCTGCTTCCCCTGCACCCCACTAGCTACGCTACTGCCCCTACCCCGACCATCCCCTGGTATAAGATCCCAGAGGCACTTCACACCCATTGTATAAGTCAGAGCTTTTCCCCTGCTGCTTTGAGTCAAGGAACCAGTTAGAGCTCCCTGCTCACTCCCCCTCTCACTAAGGGCTGGTCTACACTGGGGGGGGGGGGGGAATTGATCCAAGATACGCAACTTCAGCTATGAGAATAGCGTAGCTGAAGTCGAAGTATCTTGGATCGAATTACTTGGGGTCCACACGGCGCGGGATCGATAGCCGCAGTTCCCCTGTCGACTGCGCTACCGCCGCTCGCCCTGGTGGAGTTCCGGAGTTGACAGTGAGCGCGTTCGGGGATTGATATATCGCGTCTTAACGAGATGCAATATATCAATCCCGGATAAATCTATTGCTACCCACCGATACGGCGGGTAGTGAAGACGTACCCTGAGTTGGAGCAGAGCAGTTGAAAATCTGCTACTTAGTCTACATCTGTAATAGTAAATCTGAAACCTACATTTTTCACTAGGCAATAGCATCATCTTTGGGTAGTTCCCATTCGTACTTCCATCTGCAGAGTCGATGGAAATGTATAAGGCATGCTGACACTGATGTTGGAATTCTGCATACAGTAATGGTGTCCATATTTTTAAAAGGATGTGACTACAGGGAGGGTGCAGAAAAGAGCCATAAATGATTCTAGGTCTGAAAAACGTGCCACAACAGCTACCACCAAGAGAAAAACATCTCCAGCTCCAATGGGCTGCATGTGCACATGCCTTAAGTAGAATGGACATGTGCAATCATGCAAAGAAGAACTGGATGAAATTCTAGGATGTGGGTTTGTCAGGAGGTCAAATGGGATAATCCGATGGTCCCTTCTGGCCTTAAAACTATGGATCGATTACTCATATTACTACATTGACTGTTAAAATATGTTCACATCCATAGTCCTCAGTCTGTAGAGTGTCAGGATTTTTTTTTGCTAATAATAACAATTAAACATTGTCCGAAGAAAACAAGATTACATGGGGAACGGTGATGTTTAGTATTTCCATTAAGTTCATTCTCTTTATATCCTTCATTACAGTTCCCTTGTAAAAATACAGAGCATCTAT